GCTCAGAGTAGTAGAGTGCTAGCCTTGAGCCCAAAAACTGAGGGACAGTGCCCAGGCTCTGACTGCAAGCCCTAGGACCAGCACAAAATACAAAATAATAACAACAGCAGCAACATCTTTTTTTTGGGGGGGGGTCCGGTCTGTGGTGCCTGAACTCTGGGCCTGGGTGCTGTCCCTCAGCTCCTCAACTCAAGGCCAGCGCTCTACCACTTGAGTCACAATGCCACTTGCAGCGTTTTCTGCTTATGTGGTGCTGAGGAATTGAACCCAGGGCCTCAGGCATGCAAGGCAAGTGCTCTACCACTGAGCCAACTTCCCAGCCTCTGCAGCAACATCTTGCTGGTTAGCTCCAGCTAGCATCAAACTCATAATCGTTCTTCCTCAGCTTCTCAAATGCTGAGATTTCAGGAATATGCAATAACTCCTGACTTCTTAATTGTATGTTGTATTTTTTTATGCCAGTGCTAGGGCTTGAACTCAAGTTCTCACTCAGCTTTTTTGTTCATAACTGGTACTCTACCATTTGAGCAAGATCTCCACATCTGGCTTTTTGCTGAATAATTGAAGGTAAGAGTCTGATCTTAGCCTCCTGAGTAACTAGGATTATAGGTATGAGCTCGCCTAGAAACTTAAGTCTTCTAAATTTATTACACTTCACATATACATTACAGGTATTATTGAATTCAAAACCTTTCTTACATATTAAATACGAATTTCATTCATTCTTACCCAGTTCGGTATACACAAGATCAAATCTTTAGTAAAACTATGTAACTTGCATTTTATTTTAGGTATTATAAGAAAGTTGCTGTTGTTAAAGAGAAACAAAACCGGAATGCAGATGAAGAAAGTATAGAAGATGTGGATGATGAGGAATTTGAAAAACTGATTGGTAACATTTTTATGATTCAATTTGTAAAATAATCTATTACTATTTGTTAATAAAATATGGGCTATTACGGGCAAAAGTGAGCTGAGTGATTAAGAATGTTATATAACAAAGTGAAGGGTTAAGAACTGTGTTGACATAAACCAGCAGTAGTCACATTTGTATCATTTTGGGGCTTCTTTTAAACAATCCTGTCACTATATTGGTTTTATTAGTTAGAAGACCTGTCAACCTTCTTATTCTTTGCAGTGTATCACAGTTTCTATATTCTCTTGCAGACACATTTGAAGATGATAACTGTTTCTCCTCTGGAAAGGATGATCTTGATTTTGCCAGGTGAAGTACTTTTCCTTCTTCTCTTACTCTTTTCCTTTGCATTTTCCAAATTGTTGTCGCCCAGTTGAGGAGACCATAGAACTATGTGACATCCAAGGAAAATGTATTCAGCTAAGTTTGGGAAGCCAGTACAGTACTTTCATTCTGAACCTTTACAAAAGTGAACATTAATATACTTTGCAATGTGTCATTTCCTTTTAAGTCAACAGCCTCATACTCTGCTAGTTGCATTAACACACATTAGAAAACACTGCCCTCTTTTGCATGATGTTTTTGTGTGTTTTCCAGCAATGTGAAGAAAGAAGCAAAAAGGACGAAGGCAAACTTGGAAGATGACGATTCTGAGGGCAGTGATGATGAGTTTGGCAACCTGGATGATGATGAAGTTTCTCTCGGAAGCATGAATGATGAAGAATTCGAGGAAGTTGATGAAGATGGAGGAACATTTATGGATGTGCAGGAAGATGAAAATGAGGGCATTCCAGGTACTACATCTCTCTTCCTCCATGTGGCAAGTTTTTTATTAAAGATCTTTAATATAGCTATTCATTCAAACTAATTAGTGACTATTAGTTTGAATAGTCACACAGACCAGAAATTTAAAGAGAACCTTTTTCCTTCTTGTAAATGTGGGTTTTGTGGATGCTTATTTTTTCAGCAGGTGAGTTAAGTGCTGATCTTTTGCTTTAATCTTAAGGATTAACCTCTCTATACAGTACCTGCTATATTGTTACTTGTCCTCTTTTTAATGTTAGAAGAGTAATTGACAAGAACCTGGGAGTATAGCTCAGAGCAAGAGTGTTTACCTAGCCTATGTGAGAAGCTGGATATAATAGTATATATGCTCCTCAGCTACTCAGGAAGCATAAATAGGAAGATTGTGGTCCAGGCTGGCCCAGACATAAAACAAGACCTATCCCCCAAATAACTAAAGAATATAGGGTTAGAGGACGTTGCTCAAATGATAGAGCACTTGCCTAGCAGTATGAATCCCTTGAGTTCAAGCCTCACTGCTACCAAAAAAAAGTAACGATATTTTAAAGTCCTCATCATAGTTCTGCACCTAGATGGAGTAGATGAAGATCAAAATTTTATCTTATTAAAAATTAGCAGAAGCTGGGCACTAGTGGCTCACACCTCTAACCTAGCTACTCAGGAGGCCCAGATTTGAGGATCACGGTTCAAAGCCAGCCTGGGCAGGAAAGTCCATGAGACTCCCTCTCTCTCCAATAAACCACTCAGAAAACCAGAAGTGGCGCTGTGGCACAAGTGGTAGAGTGCCTGCCTTTAGCTGAAGAGCTGAAGGACAGCACCCAGGCCCAGAATTCAAGCCCCACAACCAACAACAACAACAAAAATTAGCACAGGGCACCAAACACTGTTTTGTGTTGTTTTGTTTTACTGTTTCTAACTTTTCTTGGCATTTCACATAGCTCTAGTTAGTATACACATATCTGCCTAACTTCCTGCTATTGGACCTCACAAGTTTCTTCGTTACAATTTTAGCTGGGCGGCGGCTCATACTTGTAATCCTAGATGTATGGGTGGCTAAGAACAAGGAGGATCATGGTTTGAGACAGGCTCAGGGAGCAAATTCTCAAGACCCTTTTCTTTTTTTTTTTGTCGGTCGTGGGACTTGAACTCTGGGCCTGGGCACTGTCCCTCAGCTCTTCAGCTCAAGGCGAGCGCTCTACCTCTTGAGCTACAGCGCCACTTCCGGTTTTCTGGTGGTTTATTGGAGATAGGAGTCTCAAGGTCTCTCCTGCCCGGGCTGGCTTTGAACCATGATCCTCAAATCTCAGCCTCCTCAGTAGCTAGGATTACAGGCATGAGCCACCAGCGCCCGGCTTCAAGACCCTTTTCAACTCATAGTTGGCACATGCCTGTCATCCCTCTACAACTTGGAAGCCTAAAATAGGTGGATTGTTGCCAAGCACATACCCAGGAGGTAGTAGGAACCTATCCTAAAAATAACCAGTACCAAAAAGGACTGGAGCTGCAATTGAGGTTCAGCAATTGAATATCTGCCTAGCAAGTTCAAATCCCAGTACTGAAAACAAACATTCTTTTATTTGGTCTAATTAACCTAGTAAATTATATGGTTGTACAATATAGAGAACTATACCAGTTACATTTATGTTTGAAGTCTTTGTTTTAATGTTATTGTAAAGGTACAAACCCATGGAATAACAGTACAGTATCTTGCTATTAGATTTTAGTGTACTCTGAAGTAATATTCGCCAGTCCTGTCATTTATAAATAGCTTATATCTAACTTTTTTGGGTAATAGAATTTGATGAAGTTGACTCCGCAGTGAATGCTAAGAGAAGCAAGAGAAAGAGTGGAGGTAATATCGACTTTGCTGGGTCATTTCAAGGTAAGAAAATGCATTTAATCTCTTAAACCTAAGCAGTTTCTACATGAAAAGTAGTATTCACTATTCACTATAATTTTGGTGAATAAAATTAGTTTGTATAATTTAGAGAGATTTTTCCTACAGATGTTTCTTTAGCTGAACAATGTAAGAGGCTGAGATCTATGGTTTGAACCCAGCCCAAGCAGGAAAGTCCATGAGACTTTTTTTTTTTTTTTTTTGTCGGTCATGGGGCTTGAACTCGACCTGGGCACTGTCCCTCAGCTCTTCAGCTCAAGGCGAGTGCTATACCACTTGAGCTACAGCGCCACTTCCGTCCATGAGACTTTTATCTCTAATAAACTACCCCCCAAAAGAGTTGGGAGGGGAGCTATAGCTCAAGTGGTAGAGTACAGCTAGCATTGAGCCAAAAAAGCTCAGGAAGAGCACCCAGGCCTGCATTCAAGCACCAGGACTGGCACACATACATATAGACACAAAAGATGTTTTTGCAAGAGGATCTTTTTTAATGTGAAGACTGTTATCTCCCTCATATTACCTATACCATTTTCTCCTTTAAGTTTTTTCTCACATTTAAAAATTTTAGACCATTTTGTCATTCATAGTTAAAGCATTTATTGGCATAATGTGCAAATCCTGAATCTTCAAAATACTTTTTGAATATATGTAAATATATATCAATACCTCTTTCCTTTGCTCAAACATTCTTTGCCATTGACCCTTGTGAAAACCCTTATTTATTAACTTTGCTGTCCTATTTTAGGTGACTGCAGTTTTAGAAAATATTTCAGTTCTTTCCATTAATCTATTTTCCAACATTATTTGCATCTTACAAAATTATGCTTTACAGTATACCATTTGAAAGGTGCTAATAAATGGAAAGAGTGTTGGGTCAAGTGATAGTTTTAAGTTTGTGGTAACATTGTAGGAAACAATATATACTTTGCTTCCAATATATTTAGCTTCTGCTTCCAAATAAATACTGAATAAAAATTAATTTGCCAAGCTAAAAAGTAATGAAAAACAATTTTAACAACTTTATCTACATATTGTTGGTAGATTGTCCCCTAGTGCTAGAAAACAGCTAGTAGGTATTTGTTATTGTCCAATATCACCTGCTTTTAGATGACATGATATCATATTTAGCTAGTGGCATATGCTTAAATACAAGGCAGAGTTTTTCTCCAGATCCTCCCTTAGGCTGGGTGCCAGTGGCTTACACCTGTAATCCTAGCTGCTGAAGAGGCTAAGATCTGAGGATCGAGTTCAAAGGCAGCCCTGGCAGGAAAGTCCGTGAGACTCTTACCTCAAATTAACAACTCAAAAACCAGAAATGGTGCTGTAGCTCAAGAATGCTAGCCTTGAGCTGAAGAGCTCAGGGACCGTGCCCAGGCCCAGAGTTCAAGCCCCACAACCAACCAAAAAAATCATCTATTAGGGGGAAAAAATATTTATCTCAGATCCTCCTGCACTTTTGACAAGGTGCTATTCCCTTGGTAACCATGTCTTTAATAAATATTATTTCAGGAGAAATTAGCCTAAGATTTTAGGATACCTGATGGGATTGATTTGGAAAAGAGAGGGAGCGAAAAGAGGTACATTATATCCGTGTATAGGTGTCCAGTATCATTAAGAATTAAAAAGTGGCACAAAAATGCTTTCTAATTGAGACCACAGCTACATACATACAGGATAAATGAAGCCAAAAACTAAAATCTTCCCAGTGCTATTCTATCAAAAGTAGCTCTCTAATAGCCACACATATACTTGTCTGTGGGTATGATTATTCATAATAGCATTACTCATTAATGTAAAATAATTGTTTTAAAAGTAATCTCTAGTAGTGCTATAGACATTGATATCAAAGATAAAAAAGTAATATTTCAAGAAAGGTGAAAATTCATTATAACAGTATTTTTAATTAATATACCTTTAGAATCTTGTATGAATTTAAGTTAATAAATACCCAAAATAACATTTTCTTATTGTCAACTTTGAAAAGTTTATAGATCCAGAAGAATAGATGAGTTCACAAGTATAAAGTATATTGATAACACTGTAGACATATCTTCATGACATTTCCATAGTCCAAAGAATAAGACCTCTGAATTAAAATTTATATTTTGTCTTAACTATCTCAAACCTTGCCCATGTCCGCTGTGAGAATTTAGTCTTGTTTGGTACATATTTCTTCTCCAGTAAAAGGATCAGCAGCGAATTCTGAAAAAGAAGAACACACTATTGTTATCTAAACACTTTTGTTAAGATAGCCTTTTTTTAAAAAAGTCATACATATCAGCTCTCAAATTGTATCTTTAAATTCCAGGGTTTTCTCACTACTAGAAGGCACTTGCCATTATATTTTTGCCAAAATATGTTTTTAAATAAAATAATTGTATTGACAGATATTCCATTTTGAAGTCATTAGATTTCTTTTTTTAATGTTTTTTATTGTAAAAATACTGTACAGAGGGGTTACAGTTACATGAGTAAGGTAATGAGTACATTTCCTACCTAGCATTGTTACCTCTTCTTTTTTCCCCTACCATCCCTTCCCCCCGCCCCAAGTTGTAAAGTTTGTTTTCAACATAGTGTCTTGTACATCTCATTGTTGCAATGGGTCAACCTGTATCCTTATTTCAGCATTTTGTTATTTCCCTTCCCTTCCCCAAATAGAAAAATGTGTATACAAGATGCAGGGCACCAGAATCAAATACAGTGAAAACCATGTTGTACTGTGGGAGAAGAAGATACAAAAGAAAAAAAAATCATAGTACATTATAAATACATTAAAAACAATAGCAAGAAAGAAAAAAACCACTTGTGTCCCTATCTTGGGGTTCATTTCACTTAATATCATCTTATATGGTCATATCTACATAGCTTTTGACCTTTTCTGCCTTGAAGTCATTAGAGTTCAAACTGAATAATCTAAACATATTTTTCAAGGACCAAAAAGTAAGAAGAAGAGAGGAAACTTCAATGACTCCAGCTTGTTTGTGTCTGCAGAAGAGGTAAAGCTAATTTGCTAGTTTAAGGAGTTAATTGATTTACATTATTTTAAGTGTTTTAATATGTTTAACACTACCCCTTTCCTTTTTTAAGTTTGGTCACCTATTGGATGAAAATGTGGGATCCAAGTTTGATAACCTTGGTATGAACGCCATGGCTAACAAAGACAATGCAAGTAAGTAACTTGAAAATAGTCTTCACCTAGGATGTAGGTCAGTGGTAGAGCACTTGCCTAGTATTCCATGAGCCCTGGGATCTGTGCCCTGTACTAAAACAAACACAGAGAACTTGGCTGATGAATATTTGGTAGGACATTGTTATGAGACCTTACAACCTGAATGAACAGCTTTTTCATCTCCTACTCTATAGAGGATACATAATTAAAATGTATTTAAACATCCAAGAAAAGGCTACAGACTATAAATTTTTTTGTTAACTGTTGTTTTTAGGGAGGTGGGCTATTGTTACATAGAATGAGTTTGCTAAAAGTACCTTTGTATACTTCTTTCTTTGGTAGTTTCTTTCTTTTGCAAGTAAAAGTGTTCAGGAGAAAGGGAAACTAGCATTTGTTCCTTTCATTTCCTAAGACGTGAGGCTTTGACAATAAAGTGAGCAACTGCAGTCCATGGCAAACCTGGAGTTCCTGCTGCTCAGTTGGATGTTGTATAGTAGTCCAGAATCTACCGTGTAATACACTTATCTTTCTTCTCTTAAAGGCCTCAAACAGCTTAAGTGGGAGGCTGAACGTGACGATTGGCTACACAACAGAGACACAAAAAGTATCATCCAAAGAAAGAAAAATTTCAAAAAGAAGAGGCTGACTCCAAAACGCCACAAAACAAAGAAAACGAGAATTTCAAAGTAAATTATAAATTAAATTTTTTCTTACTCTTAATTTTTGCTATTCATCCACTTTTCTTGATCTTGTTCTCTAATTCCATACATTCCAGACATTTCAACGGATTTGTAATAAACTATAAATAAAGACAGCTGTTATTTATAAAGTCGTGTGAAATGTTAAAACATTGAGAAAATCAGGCTTTCACATACTGCTGCATAGTAAAATGAAAAGAACCACAGGATTTTTTACTTCACTTGTAAGCGCAAGCCATTCTACTGATTATGTAATGAGCGCTCTTTTTTACATTGTATCAAATGTTAGCCTTAAGAGTATGTCATCTGTTCAGTCCTTAAAGATTCCATTAGGTAGAATTTAATATCTACCTGACAGCAAACCTGAAAGGGGAAAATGAATCTTTCAAACCTAAAGGTTTCAGCTCTGGTTTGCTTCTGCCCCCTCAAAGAGGTCTCATTCTCAAGTCCAAGGATCCATCGGAGTGTAGTTCAGTGCTAGAGAACCTGCCTAGCATGTGGGGGAACCTGGGTTCAATCACTACCAAAAAGTAAAGAAAGAATCCAGTCCACTAACTGTGCCCTTGTCTAGTTTACACTAGGTGAGAATCTTCCACACTGTGTGGTCTCAGAAGGATCTAAATAAGGGGAGAATAGTATTAAAAATTGGACAGTTATCACAAAATAAATTCATTTAGCCTTTAGTCATAAAGTTACTATAGAATTTCTAGGTTATCTGCAAAATTTACTTTGTATTATATTTTTGCTTAAGGCAAAACATACCTTCCAGGATAAAGGGAAATTTCTTGCTCATTGTTTGCCTAAAATCTGAAATTTTAAAAAAAGTTTTGATTAGATATGGTCAGAAATTCATTATACTAACACATAGATCCACAATTCAGTGCTTTAAGGTCAATGAATCACAGACATTAAGATGTATATGTAGGCTGGGAAATTGGTTCAGTGGTAGAGTGCTTGCCTTGCATGCATGAGGCCCTGGGTTTGATTCCTCAGCACCACATAAGCAGAAAAAGCTGCAAGTGGTGCTGTGGCTCAAGTGGTAGAGTGCTAGCCTTGAGCTGTAGAGCTGAGGGACAGCGCCCAGGCCCAAGAGCTCAGGCCCCATGACCAGCAAAAAAAAAAAAAGTTTTATTTTATTGTAAAGATGCTGTACAGAGGGGTTACAGTTACGTGAGTAAGGCAATGAGCACATTTCCTGTCAAACATTACTACCCCCTCTCTTGTTCTCCCACTATCCCTTGTCTCCCCCACCTCCCTCAAAATTGTAAAGTTCATTTCCATTATACTGTCTTGTGGGTAGCATTGTTGGAATAGGTTATCCTGTGTCCTTGTATCAGCAAAGGTTTTGTTTTAAAGTCATCCTAGAGCTAAATTCTTTACAACAAAATCTAGGTAGCTTTTGTATGTAGCTTTCTTAAAGTTATTTTAGAGTTTTTAATTTGACTTGTATGTATGATGTTTTACTTAGAATTAAGATTTTAAAGCATGGTATGAACTGTGAATTCTTTATTGTTTTTATGGATGTCACTTTGCCCTGATAAGAAATTATAAATAAAAGATAGCTGCCATTTATAAAATCATGTGAAATGTTAAAACATATTAAGAAAAATCAGCCTTTGACCTATTACAAAATTACAAAGATCATAGTTTTTAAGTTGATAACTTTAATTTGCTTTTAAAAACTGTTGGGGTGGAGCCGGTACCAGTGGCTCACGCCTGTAATCCTAGCAACTCAGAAGGCTGAGATCTGAGGATTGTTCAAAGCCAGCCCAGGCAGGAAAGGCCTTGAGACTTATCTCCAGTAAACCTCAGAAAACTGGAAGTGGTGCTGTGGCTCTTGTGGTAGAGTGTTATCCTTGAGCTGAAGAGCACAGGGATGGTGCCCAGACCTAGAGTTCAAGCCCCACGACCCACCCAAAAAAAAAAAAAAAAAGCTGTATGCTTTCTTTACGTACAGCTTAAAAGTATAGATTACACCTTGGTACAGGAGTACTCGGAAAAAGACAAGTGACAAACTTCCAAAATAGTCACTACCCAAGAAAGAAAAGGCAGCATTTCCTAATTTAAAAGGTTGAGGGCTTTAATATAGTTTTTAAATGTTGAGTTTTAGTAACAGCTTGGTAAAGGTTTTTAGTGTCACTGCTAATGCAGAGAAGACTAGAATGGTCTGTAGAAAGAGTATCCTGAGAATGCCTGGTGTTCTCTTGTTGTCTCAGCCTACAACCAGGGTCCTGCTCTCTTTTCCCTACTAGTGCAAGCCATGGAGGGATGAGGAGTCTCCCCAATCTAACAAACTAGAGTCACCTGTTTTACAATAATGTACCTGCTTCCCTACGAGTCCATCAAAACATTCAGTGCACTGAATCTGAAGAACGTGTGTCCACAAGTGCCACTAGCATTTAGTACCCAAATGTGTCCCTGTACAACCTTCTAGAAAGCATAACTACTTACAGAATTGTGATTACCTTGGTTTGTGTTCATCTTATTAAACAAAAAATAGGCTCCAAAAATGCCTACAAGTTCAGCTGCTAAAACTCCTTTAAAGATCTTCTTCACTGTTGGTTCCATGGTACAGGCTGTCCTAAATTAACAATAATAGCGACCTGAATGAGCATGTATAAATAAATTTTCATTTGCTGAATCTAAACATAGTTCTTGGATGCTTTGTATATAGGAAATAACATTCTTGTTACCGTATGCTTTTTTTACACATGCCCTCCCTACCTAGTTGTAGCAATGCCTAGAGCACAATAAACTTCAAAGATAACACAGTTAGACAAAGCACAGAAGATCAGGAGCTGTCAACTAGTGAAGTCAAGGTTTTACATGTTTCTTGAAGATACACAATGGTAGGAGACAGGTTACTCCAACATTTTAGCTGACCTAGGAATTAAGAGGTGATCTTTAATAGGCCTGGTATATGCAGGCTCTTAGTATAAGTGCCTACAAAGAATAAGGTTTTTTTTAAGTGGTTTTACCTTTTTAGTGATGAGTTCATTTATGAAATTATTGAAGTGAGCCACAGTTCATACCACAGTTTTTACTAGACAGTACAAAACTGAGTAGTAAATTATTCGGTTCCTATTCTAGAATTGCTATTAGGTCTTTTAAAACTAATTGCATCACCATGATGACAATTCACCTTGTGAAGGTTAAAATGTGTTTGTGACATTAGCTAAGTATCACTATCCCACAGTACTGTGAAGTTTATGTAATCTATGTCAATAAAGAAGTTTAAAATAAAAAACAAATTGCATCACCCTCAAGAGGCTTGGTTAAAAACGGCACCCACATCCTTTAGCAGATACTCCAAATTACACAAGAGGCCGACCACAGGTAGAAAGCTGATTATAGTCGATTGATTTGATTTTTTTTTCTCTTGTTGGTCTAGGGGCTTTAACTCGGGGCCTGGCGCTGTCCCTGAGCTCTTTTGCTCAAGGCTAGCCCTCTTCTACTTTGAGCCACAGCACCACTTCCAGTTTTTTAGTGGTTCACTGGAGTTAAAGAGTCTCACACACTTTCCTGCTCCAGCTGATTTGAAACCACAATCCTCAGCTCTCAGCCACCTGAGTAGCTAGGATTACAGGCGTGAGAGCCTCCAGCACCTGGCTAAGTGACTTGATTTTCTTATAACTGAAAGCCAACTAAGAAAGGAGGTCTAGTGGGCTGGGGTGTAGCTCAGTAGCAGAGTGCATTCTAGCATTTGTGAGGCCTGAAGTCTGATCCCCTAGTACCTTGAGCTAGTGGCTTAAGGTCAATAATCCCAACTACTCAAGAAGGAGGCTGAGATCTAGAGACTTAAGAGTTCCAAGACAGTCATGGCAGAAAAGTCCATGAAGCCATCTCAACCATTGAAACACCCGGCTGGAGACAGGGTTTCACTGTGAGAGCACCAAGCTGAGGGAATCTACGGCCCCTGAACTCAATCCCTGGTATCTCCTCCAAAGAGGGGTAAGTGGTCTTGGGGGTTTTTGTTTGTTTTTCCAGTCATGGGGCTTGAACTCTGGGCCTGGGCACTGTCCCTCAGCTCTTCAGCTCAAGGCTAGCGCTCTACCACTTGAACCACTGTACCATTGCAGTTTTTTCTTCTTATGTGGTGCTGAGGACTCAAACCCAAGGCCTCATGCATGCAAGGCAAGCACTCTACCACTGAGCCACCATCCCAGCATGGGTAAGTGGTCTTTTAAAGTAAAAATTAGGATATGCCATTTTAATATGTGAAATGTAAACTCAAATTGTAATCTCAGGTTTTTAGTTTCCCTGTGTGCTGTCACACTGTCTCTGCCCCCCAGACAGTTTTAACATTTCCCTGGCTCACTCCCTCTGCTTCCACCTCTTTTCACAAGGACTGAGGTAGAGGTAATGAAATACTCTCTTTTTATAGTATTAGCCTTCTAATACGGCCACCACGTGTCCCCACGCCCCAAAATTCCCTTTTCTCATCTTGATAATGTGATCACTCAGGGATCAAAAGATTAAAGCCTTCACTGTTCTCATGGGAAATGCAGAAAGTGAAGTTCCAAGTAACTTAGATAACCAGAGGCAGGTGAGTAGGTGGGAAGGAGTTGTTTTCCTCCACCCTCTAAGCTAAACAAGCCAAGCAGCCTCGCGCTGGGGGCTCACGCCTGCAATCCTAGCTACTCAGGAGGCTGAGATCTGAGCATCGCGGCTCGAAGCCAGCCCGGGCAGGAAAATCCGTGAGACTCTTAACTCCAATAAAACACACAGAAAACCGGAAGTGGCGCTGTGGCTCAAGTGGTAGAGCGCCCGCCTTGAGTGAAGAGCTGGGGGACAGCGCCCAGGCCCAGAGTTCAGGCCCCCAAGACCAACAAAAATAACAAAAAACCAAGCCATGCTTGGCACAGGGAGCGGCCAGCTCCGCGCAGAACCCACGGCCCGGGTTTGAAGGCGCAAAAGCAGCTCGGGAGCTCCGGGTCGGGAGCCCCGCGGCCCGTAGCGCCGTCCGGCTCCGGGGCGCACGCCGCCCCAGGCCCACAGCGCGCCGGCAGGCCCGGCCACGGTCGCCCCGGGCCCGCCCGGCGCCGGCTCGCCGGAACTAGAGTTAGGGACCCTCGGGGGTCTGCGAGGGACCAGATTTTCCCGGGGTGACGCCCATCCTACCCGGCGCACGAGGGCTCCCCACGTCAGTCTGTCCCACCGAAGGCGCGCGCACCGAAGCTGCGCAGGCGCAAGGTCGCGGCGCCCCGCCCGCCCTTGGCCACGCCCCGGCGTGCACTTAAATTAGCGACCTGGGTGTTCTCCCTTCCGGGGTTTATTTTCCCCTCTGGGGTAATTAGTAGCTCTTCTGTCAATCACTCAGCCAGGAAGTGAAAGGCAATTCTTCTGAACCCGGGACCAAGTGCGAGGTAAAAAAGTGCACGAGCCATATTCGCTTACAGCAACATTGGCATCCCTGGGAACCCATCAGAAATGCCAACCCACCGCGTCAGGATCTAATGATCCACGCTTTGGCCAGACCCCTAGACAATTCGGGTGCAAATTAAAATTTGACTGCTCACTAGGTATGAAGAGGAGAGGAAGAGACCTGGGAGCAGTCGAGGGGAAGGAACAAGAAAGGACCATGAAGACTTACCGAAGGACCACGCAACAAAGCCCAGACGACCCAAAGCTGCAAGGTCTACCCTCCTCTGCAGTGCGGTCCAAGGGAAGCGATATATCCACAAAGAACTGGTCAGGAGTGCACAATGCTACGAGCTTGCTCCTACTCCAGGGATCGGGATGCTTTAGAAGAGAAAGGATGATAGGTTTGTCAGCATCAGGTATGGAAGCGCTGAGGAGAGCTCCTACACAGCTCCAGATTTCCTACCCAACTATGCCCCTGAATCAGACATCCGCAATCTCCGAAAAACAGATTCCACTCAAAGATTTGCCTTTCAAAAAACATTTTTCATATTAAAAACAATCCACATGGCTCCCATGAAACATTGTGTTAAATATACATCACTTAAGATTCTATTCGATGCCTAGAGTAATTCTATACAACAATAGAAATGTACTATTTCTCATAGTTCTAGAGGCTGAGAATTCCAAGAACAGGATTGGCAGATACAGTCTGACTACCGGCCAGCTTTGTTGCTTTGTGAAATGTTGCCTTCTCCCCATGTCCCTCACATTATAGAAGGAGCAAGAGGCTCTGGGTTTCTTTTTAAACGGGTACTGATCACATTCATGAGAATTCCATCTTCACAAATTAATCATCTCCCCCAAAGCCCTACCTCTTTATATCATTACCTTGACAGGTTAATATTTCAACAAATAAATATTAGGGGGACACATTCTACTACACACATATTTAATGTACCAGAAAATTGCTGTTAAAAATAATAAGACGTCCAAGCAAGATGAACATATTGGAATGGCTCAAATAGGAAAAAAAGAAAGTCAGGTGCAGCTGTTTCATGCCTATAATCCTAGCTAATCTAAAGGTTGAGACCTGGTCAGAACACTCTCCAAGACTTAACTCCAATAAATCACTAAAAATACTGGACTGAAGTCTTAGTTCAAGTGGTAGAGCACCAGCCATGAGCAAGAAAAACAATGAAAGCATGAGACTGTGTTCAAGCCCCAGTACCTGCACGAGAAGAAAGAAGAAGGAAGGAAGGAAGGAAGGATAGAGAGAGAAGGGAGGGAGGAAAAGGAGAGGGAGGGGAGGAAAGGACAGGGAGGGAAAGAGGAAGGAAGGAAAGAGAACAGCAAGTTGGAAAGATGAATTTTTAAGGCTAAAATAATTGTAATGACTCTTGTGTGGAGTGAGTATAATAAGCCAATGGGAAGGTGAGTTTTTGTTTTTGCTTTTTTTTTTTTTTTTGGTCAGTTGTGTGTTTGAACTCAGGGCCTGAGTGCTGTCTCTGAGCTTTTCTGCTTGAGGCTAGCACTCTATCACTTTGAGCCACAGCACCACTTTCTGGGTTTCTGGTGGTTTATTGGAGATCATAGTCTCATGGACTTTCCTGCCCTGGCTGGCTTCAAACTTTGATCCTCAGATCTCAGGCTCCTGAGTAACTAGGATTACAGGCGTGAGCCACCAGCATCCAGTTTAGGAAGGTGAGATTTTATATAACACGAGACTCACCTGAACCTACAGGCATTCCGGTGCCAATGTGTCACACAATATGTGTTATTTTGTGATTATTAAGCCATTGCCTTTCACTGTTTATGCCAGAAAGCTGAGCTGAGCACAAAGAACTGGCAAGTTACCAGAGGGAACTAAGCCTGGAGAAACCAACAGTAATCAGAGCTCAGATGACGATTGGCCTTCCCCCTCCCCGCAGGTCCCCACAGTTCCCTCTTCACAGCATTAGTGTAAGAGCAGATTCCAGACCATTGTCTTTTGAAATGTTTTCTCCACCAAGAAACAAGCAAACTAAGCAATGGGCTTTGAATCAGTGTCTTAAATTCTAGCCTGCCCTGGGAAGGCAAAGAGTCTTTGTGGTGAGCTGGATTATCCACTTAGCAGCCTGCCAGAGAGTCCAGTTCTCTTCCTCTTTGCGTTTTTTGAGAGGGAGATTTTTAGCTATACCTTCCCAGCCACAGTGAATATCATCCCACAGTTATGTAAGGTCATAAGGCCTTAAAGTGGAAGGAGGTGTATGAAAATATAAATATACTAAGATACTAGCTATTCTGATTTTACCTTCTGATTTTTCTAAAAAAAAAAAAAAAGTACAAACACAACCAAATTCAGATACTTGTTCCTGGCTAGGAATCCTCTCTTGTCAGTTTCTATAACATGGATATTAAAAGTTGCCCACTACCTGCCTCTCTCCCCCAACCCCTTTTTCTCTTTTCTGTAGTGTTGGAGACAGAACCCAGGACCAATGAACATGCCAAGAAAATGGCAAAAGTTATATCACTTGAGCCCCTCAAGAAGCTACTTTCTGTTTGAGGTAGGCTAATATAGGACTAGTAGTATGAAAACAAAGCAAGCCCAAGTTAGTCCACAAAAAGTCAGAAGTGGAGGTGCGGTTCAAATGGCAGAGCACTAACCTTGAGTGGAAAAAGCTAAGCAAGAGTATGAAGAGAGTGTGAGGCCCTGAATTCAAGCCTTAGTACGAGCACCTGAGAGAGACAGACAGACAGATACAAAGAGGGAGGAGGAGGAGAATAGAAGAGGGAGGGGAAGAGAAGGAAAGGGAAGGGAAGGAAGGGAAAGAGGAAAGAGGAATGAGGAAAGGAAAGAAAAGGAGGAAAGAACACACCGATACTTCCAACAAAACCTATGATCTCCCAACTAAACCTATGACCTCTCAGGTCATAGGTACTTGCCTGGTCTGAGTTTGCCTGGGACATTACAATTCTAGGTCCCCCAAGGGCTGTAACTGTAGTTACTTTGACTTTGTAAACTTCAATCCACTATAACACACATTTCATAAGTCTGTTATAAAGTTACATTAAATCGTTTGTGTAACCTTAGCAGCAGGGCAGAGGGTGTGATACATGCAAGTGCTCAATAATATTAACGAATCCAATTGAGTGATGAATAGCTGTCCTGGATAGCTGGACAGCTGTGCGTAGGTAGGGTTAACTTTTTAACTGCCATAGGTAAATACGGTTAAAACTTATATTTGTGTGGTTAGGGAGTAAATGAAAGGTAAGAATGATATGGAGAAGAGAATGGAAAAGAAATAATAAAAAGTGTCCAATGCATGCATGCATGCATATATATATGCCAGTCCTGGGGTGTGAACTCAGGACATGGGCACTGTCCCTGAGCATCATTTTGCTCAAGGCTAGTGCTCTACCACTTGAGCCACAGATCCCAAAATTGTACTAGACAGACTACAGTGCAGTAACCAAGAGATTCAGCAACTCAGCAGTTAAGCAAGACTTAAAGCAGACAATTGTGTTCTTTCGAGCATGGTTCTGGAGGATTGCTTTAGGCCAGGTCCTGGAAGGTCGGTTGCCTTCCCTTACAGAGGCTGTCCAGTAGCCAGGTTTCCCCTATCTTGGCCTGCCATCCTCTGGAATGCTGTTTTCTTTCAGACTAACAAGTCAGGCTTGGATAATCTCTAGGGATAGAGAGGTAGAAAACAATCAATGTCCTCTCTTAAGACCCCCAAAGTTGGACACATCACTTAGGCTCACTTCTTCACAGCTCCAATGCCACACCTAGCTGCAAGGGAGGCAGGACTTTTAGGTTCATTTATCCAAAGGAGAAAAGAGAGAGAGGCTGCTGGTTAGACTGAGAAGAGTGAACATCTCATGCTAGAGTATGTGGGCTGGGTACACCACTGCACTGAGTTTCTCTTCACAATTAACCCCCTTTTGCGAGCCACACAGCTTGATGGTCACTTAGGTAAAGAACTTCTAAATCTATTTAGCCAATAAATGTCAGATGTTCAGGATTACTCCCAAATCTGAGCCCTTTGCCACTTCACTACATGACCTTGTGACTGCCTCTTCCCTCCTATTTCCCTCTCACAGAGTATAGACTGTGCATGCAGAGATGCCAGCCAAAGAAAATGAAGTGTCATTCTGTGGATTGTTCATAGGACAATTCTATGCCTGCATCAAGTACCTATTTGTGAGATATTTAGTGTCTATTAATCTTCTATTCGATTTCATTCTTACTTTCATTAGGTGGGCTGCTTCAGTGGTAATGTAATCAACCCCTGGAGTAGTAATCCCTGATTTGGGACCAAGCTCTGCACCTGTGGTTTATTTTCTGGCAGAGAACAATATGCAAAAATGGGGGGAAGGGAAGGGATTTCTTTTCTAGGGGAGTGAGGGGAGCCCTTTATTGTAGCTTCTGTGAACAACTCCTTTAAAAATCAACCATTGCACCCGGACACCCACAGAGCGGGTTCATTAGCCAGGAGTTAGTGATGGCTGATAAATCCAAATTTATTGAGTACATCGATGATGCTTTAGAAAAATCAAAAGAAACTACACTTTCTCACTTATTTTTCACCTATCAGGGGATTCCCTACCCAGTTACCATGTGCACCCCAGAAACTTTCCAAGCCCTGGAAACCTTTGAAGCCAGAAGCGATGACCTCGTGCTAGCATCTTACCCAAAGTGTGGTAAGTAACAGATCAGTTCCTGCAGGTGCACTTTGTTTTTTACAAGTACACTTTTTATAGTAAGTTGGGGCGGGGGTGGGAATAGGAAGAAGACGGTTCATTGCTGCATGAAGCTTGTTGGAAATCACTGAGGAGGGATGCCAGGATGGTTGTGTATCTATGGTGCAAATTTTAAAAAATATAGAGTTGCTAGCCCAGGGTCTGAGGGAAGAAAAAGTCTGGTGTGATGCATGATGAGTGATGGAGGGAGGTGGAAAGACAAAACATGGAGGTGGGAAATAATAGTAGACATTTTCATCTTGATTTGGGGGGGGGTTGTTGGTTGTGGGGTTTGAACAGCCTGGGCGCTGTCCCTCAGCTCTTCAGCTCAAGGCTAGCACTCTACCACTACAGCTACAGTGACACTCCCGGTTTTCTGAGTGGTTAATTGGAGATAAGAGTCTCATGGACTTTCCTGCCCAGGCTGGCTTTGAACTGGATTTGAGACTCTCTGATCTTAGCCTCTTGAGTAGCCCGGAGTGAGCCATGGGTAGCTGGCAATCTTGATGTTTTTTGTTTGTTTTTTGTTTTTAAATATGATGCCAGTACTGTGGCTCTAACTTGGGGCCTCAAGATCCCACTTGGTTGCTTTTGTTCAAGACTATTCCTGGCGCCGGGAAGGTGGCTTAGTGGTAGAGTGCTTGCCTCACATGCATGAAGCCCTGGGTTTGCTTCCTCAGCACCACATAAGCAGAAAAATCTGGAAGTTGCACTGTTGCTTAAGTGGTAGAGATCTAGCCTTGAGCTGAAGAGCTGAGGGGCAGTGCCCAGTCCAAGCACCCAGGCCCAGAGTTCAAGCCCCACAACCAAAAAAAAAAAAAAAAAGCCTTGCTCTACCTCTTGAGCCACACCTCTACTTCTGGCTTTTTGCTGGTTAATTAGAAATGAGAGTCTCATCTGGAAACTTTTGTTTCCAGTCTAGCCTTGAACTATGATCCTTAGATCTCAGCCTCCTGAGTAGCTGAGTGAGGGAGTGAGTCTCCAGTGCTTGGAATTTTTTTTCTGTTAATGCTAGGTTTTTAATCAAATCAAAATTCTATATTCACTAATGTAAAAAAATATATGAGATATAGCAGCGATTTCGATAGCATAACATTTACTATAAGGAAGACATTCCAGAGTCAAAATGATGTATTGTCTCTAGGGAAAGGAGAGTCTGAGCCAGGTGTGATAGTACACACTTACAATCCCAGCATTCAGGAGGCTGAAGCAAGAGGATTGTGAGTTTGAGGACAGCCTAGGCTACCAAGTGAGACCCTGTCTCAAAAAACCAAGCAACCAAGCAATCAGCAAAGGAGATGCCTGAGAAGTAAGAAATTTGGGTTTCAGAATAGTTCCAATTTGATATGAATATAAGTAAATGTATTTTTTCCCTACCATTTTCTTTTGATAGCTCAGGTCATTTCAAACACAGAAGCATTACCTGTACACATCAAAGATTGTTCACAGGTTGCAATTTTTATCTTGTATATGCTAAAACACATTTTTTTATTATATCAAGACTTCTTAATGAGCTTTTATTTTCTACTTGTAGGTTCAAATTGGATTCTCCATATTGTCAGTGAATTAGTATTTGCTTTTGCTAAAAGAAAGTATGAATTTTCAGAATTCCCAGTTCTTGAATGTGGGGACTCAGAAAAATACCAGGTTAGTCCAAGGGGCTTTAGAGTTGCAACCAGAATTCTAGGCAAAAGCTCAACGCGGGCTGGGAAGGTGGCTCAGTGGTAGAGCGCTTGCCTTGCATGCTCGAGGCCTGGGTTCAATTCCTCAGCATCACATAAGCAGGAAAAAAAAAACGGAAGTGGCCATCAAGTGGTAGAGTGCTAGCCTTGAGCTGAAGAGCTGAGGGATAGCACCCAGGCCCAGAGTTCAGGCCCCATGACCAGACCCAAAAAAAAAAAAAAAAAAGCTCAACACTAGGATTTGCACATCAGGTGCAGCCATTTACATGCATATGCCAAGTAAAGAGACAAGTAGTGATGAGGGACTGAGACAGATTTATTAACAGTACACAAACACCCCACAGGAAAAGGCACAGTAAGCACTCCAGCCCATATTCTGGGGTACAGACATGAGTTTTAGGTTTAAATAGGAAAAAAAAAAGAGGGAAGGAGCAGAACGTCTACATAATGATTGAACGCCCCTGCTCACAGGCGTGGGGCAGGGTGGAAGGCATTCGGGTTGCTCGTTATCTTGGGATGTGCAGGTGGGGCCTTGTCACAATAAGAAGGACATCGTTGCCTGACAGGAGGGAGCAGTTGCACCTCCTGTCACAGGCCGCAGATCCATCAGTCCTGTCCCTCCTGGATTCCAAGGGGTCTGCAAAGTGACTGCAGGAGAGAATGGTGCAGGGCCAAGGACCCAGCTACAAACAGAGACAGACATGCCAGCTTTTACACGGCTTCTACTGACCCTTTGGACATTTACCTGCCCCAATGAGGAGTCAGTGGTTTTTAGCAGAAGCCCTTTCTAAGAACCTGTGCTAACTGGAGGGCAAATTATATGTCAAGATTTCTTTAGTGTTCAACTATTATACTAATTTACAGTCATATGAAATTTAGAGTTCAGCTATTATACAAATAGCTGCTATTTGCTCTATGCTTTCCATGTCTCGTCAGTACTTTCCAGGTATTATCTCATTTTACCACAGAATAACCATATCCCCATCTCTCAAAAAGCAGAACTGCTAAAGACTTGCCTGAAACAATGGAAGAATAAATATAGAGCCAAAATTTGTACCCCAGTCTTCTGGTCTGAGTTCCTAATGACTACACTGTATGACCATGTTCATTTTTCCTAAAATAAAGTCAAGCTTTCTCTCTGAAGACATGGACATGAGCAGGAAGTGATAAGGGCTCTCCAGTCTTCTAAGTGGGACATTATTTTTTATTGTTACTATAAAGATGATGTACAGAAGGGTTACAGTTCCATAAGTCAGATAAAGAGTACATTTCTTTTTCAACATTGTCACCCTTTCCATTGCTTTTTTCCCAGTTTTCCCCTCCCAACCCTATGCACAAGTTGTATAGTTCATTTTCAACAAAGTGGGACGTTAGTTTTCATTTCTTTGTCTCAGTTATGAGTCAGAATGTGTGAGAGGGATGGGAAAGGCCAAGTAGCAGCTAGGGGCGTAAGTCACTGGTGTGTGTTGAAGGGTTCAACAGGTTCTTCTACGTGTTATTTCTCACTTATCACAGTTATTACTCGCCTTTCCAACAGAGCCAACTGGAATTTGGGTGAGAGAAACAAACTGTCCCTCAGAAGGCAGGAAAGACAGGAAAGGGGTTGGAGGAAGGATCTGTCTCAGGACGTAGTTCGAAGACAGAAAAAGAGGGACAAGGCCTCCATTCTACATCTCTACATACATCAGAGTACAAAAGTAGGCTAAATGGAAGAAGAATCTCCACCTCCGTAAAACTTTTAAAATCATCCACCACAAGAGTCTTCCAACATGCAGAGGAAACTCTGTTATTATGAAGAAAACCACCCGACTGGGATTTAGGAACCAGCTTGATGGAAAGTGACTGAGTCACTTAGTGTGATAATCAGTGCAAATGTAAACATTGGAACCTAAGTTGACAGAAACCTATTTCTAGGATTTGGGTAAAAGCAGAAGAAAATTCCATTGTACAGGAGGTGGGCAGTCAGGAGTTTGGGGCTGAATCCTGGCCCAGTCTGGCAACCAAGGAACCCCAAAGGGCTGAGCAGCCGCATCAGGGGCTCAGACATGGTAGGGTTAGCCTGGACAGTGAGGCTCAGTCAGTGCAAGGTGAGGGACGGGGCAGGCAGGAAGGGCTCTCAGGTAAGAAATGGAGGAACCAACGAAACGCCTCAGTGGCTTCTCCTATCCAGACTTTTCTATGACCTTTCCCTAGGGAAAGTTCTAAAATGATACACTTAAGTTTCATCTAGGTTTGAGGGAGATAACTTCAGTTTCCCCTTGGATAGGGCCCGACTCCTGGTAACTTCAGCATTCCTCGTGTGTTGTTATGTGATGTGGGACCCTGTAGTTTAGTGGAAACAGCCAGCTAGAACTTAATCTGAAAATTACTACCTATGTGATTTTCCACAAAGCAGTCAAAACCTCAGAGCCAGTTCTTAATCTCTAAAATGGGGGTTCTAATATCTGGAAAGGATTATTGTAAATGAATGTAGAAGTACTTCAAATACCAAAGAGTAAAATTTAACTTAACATCGGGTGATTGTCACTACGTAGTAATCCCCACTTGGGCTCATACCGTTGGTATAAGTTGTTGTTCTACCACTTGGCCCATGCCTCCAGTCTGTTTGTTATTATTATTATTATATTTTTACACCTGTGCTTGAGTTGCTATGTCCACTATTTTGTTTCTTTTTTTGTGCCAGTCCAGGACTAACAGCCTGGGCGTTATCTCTGAGCTTCCTTTCTACTACTTGAGCTATAGCTCTAATTTGGATTTCTTTGGTAATTTTTTTTTTTTTTTTTTTTGCCAGTCATAGGGCCTGAACTCTGGGCTTGGGCACTGTCCCTCAGCTCTTCAGCTCACGGCTAGTGCCCTATTGCTTGAGCCATAGCGCCACTTCTGGCTTTTTCTGCTTATGTGGTACTGAGGAATTGAACCCAAGGCCTCATGCATGCAAGGCAAGCACTCTACCACTGAGCCACCTTCCCAGCTCCTTCTTTGGTAATTTTTAATTGGAGATAAGAGTCTCACGCACTTTCCTGCCCAGGCCAGCTTTGCACTGCATTCCTCAGATCTCAGCCTCCTAAGTAGTTAGGATTATATGCATGAGCCACTGGGCACCAACCTGCCACTAAATTTTTATAGAACAATTGGCTGTAAATGTCTATTTTACTTGATGTGAATAGTTATTTTGTGGCATGGCTAAATAGTTCCACAAATGTGAAACTGAGAAAGCTGAAGTCTTGTTCTCCATATTCTAATAGATGGATTTCATTCATTCATTCATTCTTTCTTTCTTTCATGTATGTGCTAATACTAGGGCTTAGGGCTTGGGCAGTGTCCCTTAGGTTTTTCACTCAAGGCTGACACTCTACCACTTCAGACACAACTCCATTCTGGTTCCCCCCCCCCCGCTTGGCTGGGGGTAAGGGGATGTTAATTTAAGATAAAAGTCTCTTGGACTTTCTGTCCAGAGCTGGCTTCAAACCTTGGTCCTCAGACCTCAGATTCCTGAGTAGCTAGGATTACAGGCATGAACCACAAGTACCTGGCTAGACAGATTTTTAACTAAACTCTTCACCCTGGCAGGTTCAAAAGAAAACTTCATTTTAAAAATCATCAGTAAAAATAGGTAATAGAAAAAGAATCACTTCACAGTCATCAACAAGAGTTTTGCAAAACAATTCTCAGCTATTTAAATGACTGTAGACTTTTGGATTTGGCTGCGATATTTGATTGCATGGAATAACAGGAAAAGACAGAACTAAATGTTGAAAGTAAATTTTCAGGAGCTTGGGCAAACTTGAATATTTCCACTAAAAAAATCTTGACTGTAGAAGAAATAAATCCAAATAAGTGAAATAATGAATTGCAGATTCTGAATAGTCTTGAACAAAGTGGTCTTGATATCAGTGTCAGAAAATGTAAGTATCAAAAAAGTTCAACAGAAGCTTGTAATGATATTTTTGCTTAAGGCTCTTCCTTCTTCATCCATAAGAACTGGAGGAGGGTAGGAGCAGACAAAGCAGAGTTAGTAGTACTTGAAGCTGCCTTTTAGATCAGAGGAGATTACACACACACACACACACACACACACAATTTCATCTTATTGTGTGTATATGTATGTATACATAAAGACAGTTTAATTAATGACTAAAGATCACTTCAAACTATCTTTTTGCTTGAGTAATAATATCACACTTCTAAAGGAGCAAAATGATTTGAGCAGTGCTAAGTGTCCAATATAAAGAATCTGCCCATCTGGAGGAGAGTTAGACACCATCCATGGACTTGAGCTTTCCCAGTCACTCTTACACAGAGAATGTGGTGTGCTTCTCTGAGGACCTCACATCTAGCCTATTGGCACACACTTTGTTTTCCTGTTTTGCTAATATAAAACGTCCATAACGTTCCCACCTAAGCAGACTCATCCTGAAATTCTCTTGTGTGATGGAGTCATGAACACGGGCAGTGTTGGTTCCATGCCAGAAGCCTCACATCTCAGTTTGAAGTTTGTGCCCTCTGGGAACCTCCCTGGTTTTGTTCTTTTTTGTTTAATATCATTTTTCATGCCTTTTTAAAAATCATTTTATTTTTATTACCTTTAATTCATTGTGCAAAGGGCTTTCAATTCAAGCTGTAAATTTATGAGTACAATGCATGTTGACAAATACAGAGGCCTGGAGGGGGAATGTAGTCATAATACTCCTGGACATATGTGAAAATAGACCCAGGTAACTTGAGGAGATGGGTGGGGTTGGGAGGGATGTGGATGAAGAATGATGGAAATGGTGATAGTATGTTTGCATATTTTTTAAGAGAATGAAACTGTTTCCATCACCAAGGATTTTGACAACTCACCTCCATTACGACAAATTACCTGGGTCAATCTTCAAGCACAAAGCAAAGGTAAGTGTCCTTTCTACCGACATCTGAATTTCTAGGCAAGTGTTCTACCACTTGAACCATACTTCCAGCCCTGAATTTGGAGTTTTCATATATAATGATTCCTTTAATTTTTTTCCTTGAGGTGCTGGGGATCAAACCCGGGGCCTCACATGTGGTAGACTAGTACACTAATTCAGAACTATAGCCAGTCCCCCTGTTCTTGATTCTTTGAAGTATATAATGAGTTAGCTCCTCATTGTAGAATTTTAATAAAGGAAATGTAAGAAGTTTTTTTATCTTTCTTTCTTCAGACATATTTGCTATGATTATATTCAAGCCAAATGTATTTCAGTTCATATGCAAAAAGGAAACACAGCATTTTAAAATTTATCAACTTCAGAATTACACTAGGATATTTAGAGTTTGTAACATAAGAATACAGACCAGTGGGCTGGGAAGGTAGCTCAGTGGTAGAGTGTTTGCCTTGCATGCCTGAGGCCCTGGGTTCGATTCCTCAGTACCACATATGCAAAAAGAAAAAAGCCGGAAGTGGCGCTGTAGCTCAAGTGGTAGAGCGCTAGCCTTGAGCTGAAGAGCTGAGGGACAGCGCCCAGGCCCAGAGTTCAGCCCCAAAAACAAAACCCCCCCCCAAAAAAAGAATACAGACTAGTAAGGTGAGTTACGATTTTCATTTGGCTCTTTTCTGAGATCCAAAACGATTTCTTTCCAAATTTGACATATAATTACAAAATTTATGTCATTCATAGAGAACTATCCATGAGTCGGGTAGTGTTATCATTTGATTTGAAATATTGTTTCATTAATAAGTATTGATATATTTCTTATTATGGATGCTTTTTCTCAGCCTTCTATCTGTAACCTGATAGTCTCTCACTCCATTCCTTATTTTTTGGTCCCTCTTTTCTCTGTCTCACATGGAAAAGTTTAGAATGAGTTAACATCAAAATTTAAGGTTGGACACTTCCAAGAGTTAAACTTTTGAAAGCCACAAAGAAGATTGGGAGAAAACTGAAGTAATAGCATAGGAAGGAAAAAGAAGGGAATAGTGAATGTCATGGCAAGCAGTAGGAGGAACACTGGAGAGAGGCAAAGGGTTGGAAGGAAAACACCAGGGAAGGAGTGACTTCCTGATAGCCTCATGGTTGTGGGATGAGAATCACAGGTGCAGAGAGCAAGGGCAGGGGCGACACTGTCCAAAAAGACATGCACTTTTTACTTGACTTATGTAACTCTGATATCACCTTTATTTTATTTTATTTGTCAGTTGTGGGAACTGAACTCTGGGCCTGGGTGCTGTCCCTCAGCTCTTCAGCTCAAGGCTAGCATTCTACTACTACAGCGCCACTTCTGGCTTTTTCTGCTTATGTGGTGCTAAGGAATCGAACCCAGGGCCTCATGTATGTAAGGCAAGCACTCTACCACTGAGCCACTTTCCCAGTCCCTTTATAATATTTTTATAATATTTTTTTAAAAAAGAATCATAGGTGCTTATAAGCCTGGCACTGGTGGCTCATACCTGTAATGCCAGCTATTCATGAGACTGAGATCTGAGGATCATGATTCAAAGCCAGCCCAGGTAGGAAAGTCTGCGACACTCTTATCTCCACTAAACTGCCAAAAAAGCTGCAAGTGGAGCTGTGGTTCAAGTAATAGAGTGCTAACCTTGAGCAAAAAGAAGCTTAGGGACAATGCTTAGATAGACCCTGAGTTCAAGCCCCAGACCCAGAAAACACACACACACACACACACACACACACACACACACACACACAGGTGCTTAGACTTAGGAACTGTCACAGAGGTTGCCCGCTAGAGTTCCTGACTTTATGTTTAAATTCCACTAAATGATTGGAGAGAGACTGAATACCTCCAATTATAAAAGAACTTTTCTGTCCTCTAAGCCAGCTTTGGACAGCTCTGTTAAACAATTTTTTCTTATAGTAAGGATCTACAAAATTGCTAAAAAAAAAAAAAAAAAGAAAAAAAAGTTCTAATCTATAACTTTCTATTTTTAAACGCATTAGCATCATTATCATGTGCCTTTTTTCCCCCTCAGTGAAGTGAACAGAAACAGCTGAGGTAACTTATAAAGCATTTATTTGTGGGGTATGCAAGCTTTTGTACAGGTGTGCAGGGCTCCTCTTTCAGAAGAATACAGAGCAAGAAAAGAGCAACAGAAATGGATGCTGAGAATTTGAACTCACTCTAGTTACTTCACACACAATTTAAACTGATGTGAGTCAGCGCAACTCAGAGTACTAGTTAAAGCTTCAAAAATAAAACTTGAATTACAAGAATCTATATACTGTATGGCTGTTGGGAGGAAGGGGCTGGAGCCCAAGTTAAGAAAGATGCTGACCCATTTTACTCTATTCAACTTTATCCTATTCACGTTTTCATTTCCTATGTCTCCCTCCCTCCCTCCCTCCCTTCTTCCTTCCTTCCTTCCTTCCTTCCTTTTATTTTCGGTGCTGGAGTTTGAACTCAGGGCTTTCCTCTTCCTCTCTAGCTAGGCCAGATGCTCTATTACTTGAACCATGACTCCAGTTTGCTTCCTTAGACTCACAAGGTGTTTGGGTATCCTATTTCCTCTTGATCGCATGTTGTCTACTAAAATGATTTTTCTTAAAAATGGCTCTGGCTGGGGCTGGCAAGGTGGCTTAGTGGTAGAGCGCTTGCCTTGCATGCCTGAGGCCCTGGGTTCGAGTCCTCAGCACCACATAAGCAAAAAGAAAAAAGCCAGAAGTGGCGCTGTGGCTCAAGTGGTAGAGCACTAGCCTTGAGCTGAAGAGCTGAGAGACAGCGACCAGGCCCAAAGTTCAGGCCCCACGACCGGACCAAAAAAAAAAAAAAAAATGGCTCTGGCTGGGCACCAGTGGCTCATGCCTGTTATCCTAGCTACTCAGGATGTTAAGATCTGGGGATTGTGGTTCAATGCCAGGATTGGCAATAAAGTCCATGATACTCTTATCTAATTAACCAGCAAATATGGCAGGAGTAGAATTGCTATGGTTCAAGTGGCCTTGAGAAAAAAAAAAAAAAAGCTCAAGGACATGCCCAGTCCCTTAGTTCAAGCCCTAGGACTGATGCATGCATACACACAGCTGTATTATTACCTCTATCCCTCATTAAGTTGTCAGCAGTGGTCCCTGGAGATTAAAAACCTCCAGACTAGGTTACATTAATTAATTACTTAGTGTTGAGTGCATCCTCCAGGTAGGATTACATTAATTAATTACTTACTGTTGAGTGCATCGAGTACCCAATTAGTTTTAAATGTCTAATTACTCTTGCATCCGCTTGCAGTGTTCCATTCTTAGAAGAAATCAAAAGCAATTTGGTCTTCCAATCTGGAAAGCAGGTCCAAAAGAAAGAAAAAACATCCTGAGGCCAGTTACTTGATCACAAAGGACCCACATTGCCCCCTGCTGGTTACTGTTTCCTCCTTACAAGGTCTCAAAGGTAGTCAAATGCGGAAACCTCAGGATGACAAATCTGAACTCTGCTAAACCCATCTTCCCCTTTTCTGAAAGTGAGACGGGTCCCGCCTGTATTTCATTCTCTGACTTGTTCTGTGCTGTCTCACAATCTTCAGAATTAGCTGATGTCTTGCTTAGTGCCCTCAGTTTCTGACTGTAGTATTTTGGTTCTTCTTGGTTTCTCTTTGCTTTTGTTGTTGTTGTTGTTGTTTTTGTAGATACTGGTGATATTTCGAAACCCCAAAGACACGGCTGTATCGTTTTTCCATTTCCACAACGATGTCCCAGATATCCCAAGCTATGCCTCCTGGGCTGAATTCTTCCAACAGTTCATGAAGGGAAAAGGTACAGCTGGTAGAAGCACAGCTGCTAGATGAACACATAAATATGGACATTAAAATGGGCTTTGGGGCAAAGAGAGAACTAAGATATAAGCAGCTGTGGGAAGCAAGAAGTTACATTTAAGTGAAGTTTTATAGCACCCCTAGCCCTGTATATCAAGCAATTAAAACCTATGACTGGTTTCAAAAGTAAACTGGACAACTCCTTGTTGATGAGTGTTGAGTGGCCATAAAACAGAGGTGAGAGCCGGTGGCCTATGGCTCACAGCAGTAATCCTAGCTACTCAGGAGGCTGAGATCTGAGGATCGCAGCTCAAAGTCAGCCCAGGGGAAGGAAAGTCTGTGACATCCTTATCTCCAATTAACCACCAGAAAACTGGAAGTGTTGCTGTGGTTCAAGTGGTAGAGTGCTTGCCTTGAGCTGAAGAACACAGGGACATTGCCCAGGCCCAGAGTTCAAGCCCCACCACCAAAAAAACAAAAACAAAAAAACAAAAAAAAACAGAGATGACACAGAAACCTTTAGAAGAGGTGTATAGAAAAGTACTTCCAACCACTTTTCCCTCAACCACTGTATTACACAGTGATTAAAAAAAGAAGAAGAAGAAAGAATTTAGTTAATGGTGCTGAACACTATCCCAAGATATTTGCTTGCCAAGAAGGATTTTTTTTTATTAGAGCATTCAAATGCTTCAACCTCTGTTTTTTTTTTTGAAATAACTGTATTTGTTTGTGTGCACCAGTACTAGGATTTGGATTCAGAGCCTTGAAACAATAAAGCATATTCACACAACAAGGCTCTCACTTGAATTTTCAGCTCAAGGCTGATGCTCTACAACTTGAGCCACAGCTCCATTTCTGGCTTTTGGGTGGTTAATTGGAGATAAGTCTCATGTACTTTTTTGCCTGGGCTGACTTAGAGCCATGATCCTCAGATCTCAGCCTCCTGAGTAGCTAGGATTATAGACATGAGTCATTAGTACCAGCTATAGCTATCATTTTTAAATGTTTTCTTTCTTTCTTTTTTATTCATTTTGGTGCTAATGGGGTTTGAAATTAGGGATTCCTGCTTGCTAGGCTAGGGTTCTACCACTTGAACCACACCCCGAGCCATAATAACTATAATTTTGTAAGTCTACTAAAGTTTGAACACAGGACTTAGACACTATCCCTTAGCTTTTTGGCTGAGGGCTGGCACTTTACCACTTGAGGCACAGCTCTACTTCCAGTTTTTGTTTTTTTCTGCTTAATTGAAGATAAGCATCTCATGAACTTTTCTGCCCAAGCTGGCTTTAGACCATCATCCATCCTCAGATCTCAGTCTCCTGATTACAGGTGTGAGCCACCAGTGCCCAGCTCCCAGTGTTTAATTTTCATTCTCATAACTCTGTAGGGTGAAACTTTTTTATCCTAATTTCATAATGAAGGAAATAGAGACATAGAAAAGTCACCCAGCTATGAAGTGTATGGATCTGTATATAGATCTGTGTATATGTAAAATATCCACCAGCTTTTGATGACTCAGAATATAAAAATAATGTGACATTTTGCTAATAATTTATCATGTTGATTACATTATAAATGATAATATTTGGGGGGATAGTAGGTTAAAGTAAAGCATTAATTTTACCTCTTTCTTTTTAAAAAATCAAATATGTGGTTTTTAATCCAGATAATGTCTTTCTTATATGTCCTTCTTCCTGCCAGTTTTTATGTATCACATCATGCACTATTTCTGAATCAGTCCTCACTTTCATGAGTGTCTGGTGGCTTTTACTAACTCATTTTCACAACTTTCTCAGCTATGTTGTTTTTTTTTTTTTCAGTGAAAATGGATAGAGGGGCTAGGAATGTGGCTTAGTGGTAGAGTGCTTGCCCAGCATACATGAAGCCTTGGGTTTAATTCCTCAGTATCACATAAATGGAAAAGGCCAGAAGTGGTACTGGGGCTCAAGTGGTAGAGTGCTCAGGGACACTGCCCAGGCCCTGAGTTCTAGCCCCAAGACTGGCAAAAAAAAAAAAGAAAAATAAAGAAAATGGGTAGAAATTGGACTATAGGACTGGATTTTGCTGCCTCTTTGGGAGAGATTTGTAATAAATTATAAATATACCTTGTTTATACCTATCTATATAGTTATATTCTACAGTATATATTAACTTTACTTCACTTATGTAAAATTACTTATAATGTCTTTTCCCCATGTTTTAGTTTCTTGGGGAAGCTATTTTGATTTTGCAATTAATTGGAATAAGCACCTTGATGATGACAATGTTAAGTTCGTATTATATGAAGACCTGAAAGAGGTGAGATTATAATTACTGATATTCAGGAACAATACTTATAAATAATGACATATATTGTGCACTTATGTCTGGTTGTATGAACAAGTATGTTTTTCAAGTTCTTAAATTCCAGATATGTATTACAGTACTAGAAAAAGAAGTTCAACCATGCATAGCTGCTAAGGTTGTTTACTTGATGCCAAACAATGTTTAACAAGTTAATGGTAATTGTTTTATTTTGCTTGTATGATGAGTAGAAAAAATAGGTATTCTCAGTTAATTTAATCAAACATACATTCGATTGTGAATTGATTTTTTCCTCTTAATGTATTTTTCAAAAGAATGTTTATTTACTTAGCAAACATAGACAGAATGATTGTTCAGAGTTTACTGATTACTCTGGTGTAGGCCTGCATAGGTGATGCAGTAATGAACAAATGAGGTGAATTTTGCTGCCCCAGAGCAGTTTACTTTCTAGGTTGGAGATGGCAAGTAGATAGAATAAGAAACAAAATGCAAAAATAATTTAAAAAAATACACAGAGTATGTGAGAAAAAGAAATAGCTGGTTAAAAGTTGGAAATGCCAGGGGATGGTGGATTAGAGTGCTGGAGGAAATCTCATTTTAAAATAGGGTGGATAGGAGCCTTCCCATTAAGAGAATGTGATTTGAGCACAAACCTAAAGGGAGTGAGGCAAATAGGTAGCTGGGGAGAGCAGGCCAGACAGATGAAACCAGTTGAAGCAAAGGCCTAGGTAAAGGCAGCTGTGATAAGGTCAGTAGGCCTGGTGTGTCCAGGCCAATAGGAATAAGGCAAGAAAGAAGAGCCAACAAGGACAGAAAAAGCAATGTGATGGAATGTAAGGAACCAAATGGCCATTGAAGTGCCTCTGGCTTTTACTCTAAGTAAAATGGGAAGCCATAGTGGTAGTTGAGAAAGGAGTGATCGGAGCTGATGCTTTCTTGAAAAGATCATTCTGCCTGGAGAGTAAGGACAGACTGGGACAAAGGTAATGCAGGAGACCTGTGAACAGGTGACTGAAGGATGCAGGTGAGGAAAGATGTTTGCTCAGCCTCAAAGGGGTTGCACAGAGGATGAGAAGTGGTGGGAATCTGATTGGATTCTGGGTGAGCCAATAGGACTCACTACTAGGCTGGAAGGAGGGAAGTTGAGTGGTAGAAAGAGAGAAGTCAAATAAGACTGTAGTATTATTGGTCTGACCAGCTGAGAAGGTTGATTTGCCATCAGCTGGGTAGGAGAGGATTTTAGGGAAGCTTTGGAATTTGGTGGGAAATGGGAGTTTGGCTTTGAATTCATTAAAATGCTTATTAATCAACTTAATGAAAAGATCAAGTATAAATTCTACAAATGCAGAGAGTTATAAGCTGAAAATAAAACCATGAACTCTTTGACACATACATGCAGTGGAAACCATGAGATTACATACACCAGTATCTACATAGATAGAGAAGAGAAGATGGCTAACGACTGGGCCAGGGAGCTCTCTGATATTAAGAGTTTGAGAAGGGGAAAAATCAGCAAAGGAGACTGAGAAGAAGTGATTAGTGAGGTCAGAATGAAACAAGAATCCTGGATCCCCAGTGAAGAGCAGGGAGTATCAAATACACCCTAATGAGTGGTCATCACCAGCTTCTGGTGATGTTCTTATTATAGGCAATAGCAATTGATTACATCCTTTCTGTTTATAAGATGCATTTCATAATATGTGAGAATATTCTTTTTTTTGCAGGGGTGGGGGGAGTCCGGTCGTGGGGCCT